TGACAGGTTTCTACGCGATAGGAATAAAGCTAGCCACTGCAGACCGTAAGCAGGTTTGGAATCTGTCCAGCTCAGGACTGCGCAGCCGGAGATGATAGAATGTGACCTATACACTGAACCGTGTTCTGTGCCTAATGTACTACAGTCTAGCAGGCTCTGTGATTTGTTTCGTCCCCGGCTGGGTTGTCGTGACAGAGAGCCGATGTGAAGAGCAGCGTTACAACAGACATTTATATCGACCATGGTCGTATCTGGCACGAAGTGGATTGATAATCAATTTTCTATTTACGCAATATTTCAAAATGCAGAAAAATCGGGTTTCATATTTCAACTCAGCGTTACAAATTTATGGGGAATCAGTTTAATTATCTCTAGAAACGGAAAGTTGCCCAAGGTTTTTTGTTGACCTATGTTATCGGATTGCGAGAGCAATCCTCTAACCGCCTCAGCAGTGTAGCGTATATGTGCGGAAACCTTTTAATATGTTACTTTTCCATAGGAGAAACGGTGGATTCTCGGATTTTTGCAAATGATTACTAGTAGTTGAGGATTTCGCTATTCAACTGGAAAAAATAAGTAGTACTGTACTTCTACGAACAACACTATGGGTCAGCAGCACTCCAGACTGTCTTATAGTGATTCATATCAGTTGTCGCAATTTTGTTGAATCTTTTCAAGATTCGACGATTCTTTAGCAGATGCCGTTCTGGTGGAACTTCTCTTGATAAGCCTACGCCATTGACCGACGAGATATTCCTTTGTGACGTGGTTAACATCCGAGCAAAGTCGGCTACCTACAGCGGATGTAACCGTATGATAATATGTTCACCTTTTACCTACCAATGGATCATCACCATCATCATCAGCAGTACATCAGCCATTTGAACTCATACTTCGCTGCCATACAACCATGAGGACCTATGAAATAAAGAATAAGAAGAGGGAGAGAAGGGGGACTTACCTGAAAACCTTAATGCCCTAAGCAAACATTCAGGGTCAAGGCGCCTACACCTTGTGTAGACAACATACCGTCACAAACAGCTGGCTATCGTGCAAAGATATGACGGCATCGGCGAGACAGCCACCTTGCGGTTTTCACTGCCACGCGTCATACTCAGCCGTTATCCCGCAGATAACTCAGCACCAAACACACTTTAAACAGGCCATCCGATTAGGAGATGGCAGCAGACGCGTCACTGGTGTCGGTTTCGAGTCATGTCCTGTAAAGTCTCGAGCCAAGCACAAGACGCGTCACGTGGACTCCAGCCCGGAAGGCGAGCCGGACCAACAGCACCCAGTTTGGTCGTCAGTGACTTCCTTTCCCACTGCCAAGTCAACTTCTGTCCACCTCGAGCCTTGCGCCACCCTTCACCTGGTAGACTGAACAAGGCCTTCCTATTTAATCGGTGATCAGGCCTACGGGACACACTGCCCAAGCTAACACAACTTATTCAATGCTATCTGTTGTTCTAGGAAGCTAGCATGATTATCACTACGAGTGCTTGCCTACGCACATCATCGTTGCGGACACGCTGGTGCCATCCGACACCAGCAATGCTTCGCAGACAACGATGATCAAAGATTTGAAAACCCTTCAGACCGAAGGCGCTAAGTTTCACTCCCATGGAGCAGCACGGCCCTCACTGTGGCCTTGTATAGACGGCCTTTCAGACGGAGGGAAACTCCCTTCTGTCGCCAAAGATGACGCAGGTTCAAGAAGGCAGCTCTGGCCTTTGCAATGCGTGAACTGACTTCCGTTTTTATGCGCCCATCATTGCTGATGCAGCTGCCGAGATAAGTGAATTGATCAACCACCTGGAGTTCCTGGTTAGCGAGGGTTAAAGGGTTCTAAAGTGGCAGGTGTTCCTGCAGCAACACTGCACTTTGAAGTTGCGAAGTGCATACCAATTAATGAGACTACTCTATACAGGCTATTCAGGGTTGATTGTGCCGCGGCAGCATCGTCGAAAAGCAGGACGATTTCGTCCGCATAATCAAGGTCATCTAAATTTTCACCAGGTAGGACCTCAACGCCTACATCATGTGATTCCGCAAAGGAACATTACATAATAGAATGCACGACGAAATTAAACTGAAATGGGGAAATCGTACAACCCTGACTAACGCCACTTGTGGTCGGAAAGCCATCCGATAGGACACCGTAGACCCTGACGCGGCCTGTAGTGTTCGAGTATAGAGCACGTAGGATGTTCACATATTTCGTGGGAACAGTATTCCGCGCATGTATTTCGAACAGAAGCGATCGATCGACAGAATCGAACGCACTCATGAAATCGAGGAACACAGCTATTGTCGGTCTACGGTATGCGTGGCGCTGTTCTAGCACCTGCCGCAAAGTGAATGTATGGTCTATACAAGCACGTCCTGGGCGGAAACCGGCCTGCCCTTCCCTAATCCGAGATTCCCGTTCCTCGGTGAGACGACGAACAAGGATCGAGGCCAGTAATTTTGTCACAACTGGCGTTAGGCTAATACCCCTGTGGTTAGCACAGTCTGTGCGAATGCCCTTCTTGTATATTGCCACCATAATCGATTCGGTCCAATTAGCCGAGGCACTCTCTTCCTTCCAGATACATTCGAATAAGGAGGTCAGTGCTTTGCAGAGGACCTTACCTCCATCCTTAGATAGTGCAGGTGGGAGGGAATCCGGGTTATTGGCACGAAAACGAGCAAGAGCTGTGATCGCGTTTCGGATCTTGTCCTCCGACGGAGGCTCTAAACTAACCGTCCATGGCTCATCCTGCACCACCTGAGTAGGAAAAGGTCCGGGAGCAGGGGGCCAGCTGAACTGACCTTGAAAGTGTTCCGCCATACGGCGCTCCTTATTGTGTATCAGCGCACCCGCGCTGTCTCTGCTTTTCTAACTGACGCCTGATTTCCTGGAACCAGTGATGCAGGTCAGCTGGAAGAGCTGGCTCCTGCCTCCTCCATTTATTGAGCCCTACTGGTCCACCAGGCTTCCTTGTCTGCACATAGGCTCCGCTTTAGTTCGCGCCTACTAGCCCGTCTGGTCATGTTATGCTCAGAGCCAGCCGGGAGGTTTCTTCTGAATTCTAACAGGTTCACCGACCTCTCGGATATCCAGTGACTGGTGCGGTGACGACTGATAGTGCCACAAACAGATGCTCCTGCGTCGTGCATGGCGGCTAAGATCCTATTCCACTGAAGGTCAGTATCATTAGAACAAGATACCAAAAGTTCGGTACGCAGTGCGTCTTGATAGGCTTGCTTGACCGACGGCTGGGACAATTTCTCAGTTGCCAGTCGGAGGAGACGCTTGGTGCGCCTCCCGGTAAAGTTCATGGAGAAACGACAACGTACCAAGGCATGATCAGAGTCGACACAGGTACTCCAGTACGAGCGGCAATCCAGAATGGAACCACGCCACCTGTAACCCTCGGCTATGTGGTCAGTTTGAGTCCATCGCTGGCCAGCTACAGGAGGACGCCAAGTGGCACTTCGGCGCCCACTGTGTCTAAACGCAGTGCTACTAAGAAGCAACTGGTGCTCTGCACACACTTGCAGCATACGCTCGCCGTTGTCAGTCCGTTCGCAACTAACTCCATAATTGCAACCCAGCGGGGCTTCTGAAGAGCTCAGACGCCCTACTTGTGCGTTCATATCCCCTGCAAGTACTATACTCTCTGAACTAGTGGCGCGTTCAGTTCGTCATAGAATGTGTCCTTGACAGCATTTGAACTGCAGTAGGTGGAAATCACAAACAAACAGCGTTTTTTACTACTTTGGGACTCAACCTTAGCTGATGTCATCAAACGGGCTGCACATAAACGGCTGTTCACCGGAATCCAATCAACCAACCATGGTTTAGCTTTGGAGCTTAGAATGATACCTACACCAGCTTGATCCGTGGGTGCCGCATTGGCGTCTCCGGATGCTTGCAACCAATAATGAGAGAATAAGCCGGGTGCAGTTCATTCAACAATCCAGTTAGCATCATTGATCCTAGTTTCGGACACACAACACGCGTCAATACCCAGTGTGTCCAAGGTGGGTGCGAGTGCAGCCTGTTGACTGATTTGTCTTAGCGTGCGGACATTGTACGTCGCCATGGAAACGGGATAGCGTGGCCTTATAGGGGACTTTTGTTGATAGGTATTGTGGGATGGTGACTGCAGATCGTTCTACTCCAGTGGCACTTCAGTTGCTGTCAATTAAGCTGGGAATTATAGAAGGAAGGTTAGTATTGGGGGTCGGGATGGGAGTAAGAGAAACAGGTAGAAAAGAAAGAAGGGAAGCGCCAGCAGTAGCATATTTTCGCTTATCCGCCCTGCTGTATGCAGCAGACAAGGCGACCCGTGATAATCTGCACGACGTCCGATGCAGGGTGCAATTTATGTTTGAAGAAAAATCATGGTTGTATGTGTGCTGAGATACTTCCAGGGCGCCCAGACCTAGACAGGAGGATGATTAGGGTCCTCATCCAAAGCCTTTGGCTCAAAAGCCTGTCCGCAAGGCAGCGGGGAGGTAGCAATGATCTAGTTTTACAGAGATGGACGCCATCCCATTTCAAACTCAGTCACCTGGAGGACCAGAAGACTGAGTTTGTCTGACATCTCACCATTGACCAACCTGGTAGGAGTAGCTCTCAAAGTGCCTGGAGGCACCACCCGGTATAGCTCAATGGGTCAATGAGGTACGCAAACCGTCGCACCACGTTAAGCTCCAGTCTCGTTGCGAGGGATATTGCAAGAAGTTTCAAGTAAGGAGGTACAGCCGTATGCGCGTACTGTGAGAGACGATAACAATGTGGTTGCAATGCATTTTGTTCTTTCCACCGGTATACCACCTTAGTTACTGGGTCATATACGCATTAACATCGGTTAACATGGGACAGCCCTAGATATTCTGCTAAAGTGCTCTACCATTATTCCCGACTGCGTAGTTTTGTGGATAAGTTGTATTAATAAGCCTTTATTTTTTAGTGGTATATTCACTTCGTTTAATCTCCTTATCTTTAGTGGGTGCAATCCAGGTCGACCGGACGGTTCCCTCATGGAAGGAGTTGCGTGCCAAATACATTAAGTCGGCACGATCCCTACCCCAAACATATTCCGGAAGTCGGATTAATGATTCACTGCGTACCTGGCTCTTTGTCCACAACTTCAGTCAAGGTGGCACTCCATCATTCGGTCTCTGGTCTCCGGTTGAATGTCGTCCACGCCAAACAGTCGCGGTGATTATTCCCTTCCGCGACCGCGAGGCACATCTACGAGTCTTTCTCAACCACATGCACACATTGTTCCGCCATCAGCAGTTGTTATATTCTATTTTTGTGATCGAACAAGTGAGAAAATTTCTTTTTTCCACGGTATTACTCTTTCATTGGCTTCCACCGGGAGTCGTGTTCAAGGCTATGTGATTGCGTTGGTCTGAAATCCATGTCACCGCGTTACAAGCTCTTGCTGTTCTTTGATGCGAACCCCCTTGTTTCCTTTGCGGTTGAAGTGGAAGTTAGTGCATTTGTTTGCATCTACATGGATACCCCATGTTAACCTATCACCCAGATTAAAGAATCGTCTTAATATGGATCATACGCGTCACTAACGTCACCGTTTTAATAATACGTTGATCAACTACTCTACCTTTTGGTCCGACAAATGCAGTGTATTTCATTAACCCATGCTCCAATCTTGATATGACTCTTCTTCAGTTATATTAGTCCGTTCTTTTCTAGCACAAGTTCGGTACGTATAAAAACAAGAACAGCTTGAAACTAGTACCCAGTTTTGCAATCATCGCTCCGTAACTTTGTGTGTACCACCGCCGATGAGTTTTGCTCTAGCAGACGGTAATTACGCCTTCTTGCGCTGCTGCGAAAGTTTCGGCTTAGTTTCTCTGCTTCTCATTATAGCCGTCATAACAGCAGTGAATCGGTCTGACGACGGACACATTGGATTAAATGCTCATTCATCTGGTCTTCTGAGCTGATTTTTGTCGTCCCTTCGGCACATTTTCCTGTTTGCACTGTTGTTATGCGCTCATCCCAACGAAACAAGTATTTTAGTAATTTGCAGAGTTTGCACTTTTATCCATGGTGTCCTGTTCCCCGAAAAAGTGAATTGGCCAATCTGAACAGAGATGAAGCGCCGCTCCGTTCCACCTTCGAGTGATGGATGACAGACAGCGTTTGTCAGAATATATTTATTTGCTAAGCTTTTACGTTGCGATTGCATATTCTTAACCTTTCTCCAACTGTCCTGCATCGGTTACTGGGAGAAAATTAAATACCTACACGGTAAGGTCCGTCGGTGAACGATTCATTCCTTTCCCGCTGATTTGGAATTATAGTAGTCAGAGTTGCACCTCTTTACTCTCGCCGAATATTCACGTTCATATGTATTCGATGATAGGGATATTTTATATGGCGCTCTTGCCGTAAGATACAGTCTATTTTCAGTATTACCATCCTCTTTGTTACTTTACGAACTCGATCCTCAGCGCAACGAGAAGGTATAAGTTGCGATATGTTAAAGTCTCCAATGTTCTTGCTTGTCCCTGAAGCAATGCGAAAACCTTGTACCTAGTTACATCTATGTAAAACTCAGTAACACATATAAGTACGTATGATACGAGACACTCCAACCAAGTCCTCACCAATTACCGAACGTTTGTGCGACAACGCAGTGATTGAGCTGATCGGGTTTACTTAGTGGAAGGTTGTAATCATAGATTTCCAAATAGATACAGAGTTCACTCCACCTTGTTGCAACATCGATCGCTTTAACCACTTTAGGGTTTGCTCAGCCACACTTCTGGTCAGTTAACGATCAACCCTGTCCATGCAAACCTCGCTACATCTACAGGATAACTGGTGGATAGCCTGTGAGGTCGTACTGCATTCTGAGCTTCTCTGACGACCTTGGATAACATGCCTTAGTGTCTTATGGATCGGTCGCCAGTAGCGTAAGCACAGGTTAAACGAGACCTGCGCTTGTGCTTTGAACCGTAGGAACAAATAAGTACAATTCAATATATTGGAATATGTTTGGAACCGACTGTGATTTCATGATTTCAGAAGGTTTTGTATACAAATCGGTTTTGGTAACCGATTTGTATACAAAACCTTCTGAAATCAAATAAGTACACTTTTCTCCGCTGTTTTGGTGATATCTTCTTGAGAAAATCACTGTGCATCTGAAGGAAATTTTCCTTTACCTATTGGGTGTTCTGCGGTGTTAGAGCGTTTTCATTAGACCGCATTCGAAAGAAATTATATAGGAACTGAAAAAATCAAAGTGCCGCTCTCTCAATTTCTGTGTGATGGAGGGTGTACTGGAGTGTGTTATCGTCTGTTGTTTCATCTCCTGACGTGAATGGAATCCAGACGGGCAAAAGAATGGCTAAAATCTTATCCGTTTCCGGAGGTCAGAATGTCGTCAACCTAGCTTTTGCTCCACCGATCATGCCCAAGAAGTTGTCTATGTGGCATCAGCAGTACGGTGCGCCGACACCTAAATAAAAGAAATAAATAAATACGTTTGTATATTTACCGACAGACGGTACACGGCCCCATAAGTGGGAGCGATCACCATCTCTCACACGAAGGATAAACATGTTGCGAGGTCCCCGGCATGTACACAGATTCAAACCGGCGCCCTCTGGGTTACAAGACAGACACCTCATCTCGTCAGCCACCGGCCGGCAGATGTTTGCCGTACCTGGTCCCAGAGTCCTACCCATGATACCACCACTGATTTGTTTTTCACCATTTTTTTTCCAAACGAATCGTATATTTTCTATGCACCACAGGTTCTGACCTCTCAAGCACTCTAGAAGAAAACTCGCACATAGGTTCCTACTCGGAAGAAATTGGTAGTAATTGTCGACTGGCTCGTATACGGGCACAATCGGGGATCGCGTCTATATCTATTGGTGCATGCACTTTATGTTCAGTGCTACCTGCCCCACTGCCTACACCAAATCATAGGTGATGCCAAAGGCTGGAGAGAAGTTTAATTTGGGACTCTACTGTCTAATGAGGACCCTGAAAGCCCACTCAAACCTGCAGCAAAGGCCCCGAGGAGAAATTTTAGGCACGAGTGACATTAAACGAAAGCCCGAGTCTCGTTTGACGTTATCTTCGCAACCCTTTAATTGTATCCCATTTATAAACACGATCGTTATATATGCTCCACACTGCAGCTCCTTTATGTAGTTCGGTCTCTGGCCTTGTCCACCAGTTCACCTAGTTGCGGTGGCGCTTACAAAGCCAGGATTGCACGTCGACTGGTTCAAGTTGTGCTTGAACAACTACCAAATTGGTTAAGACAATCAATGTTGCCACATTGTGCCGTTTGCAATGGGTTGGACTGGCATCCCGTTCTTATAGTGCCAAATCGATCCTGACGACTTGTCACTCGGTGAACCCCATCAGTTTACTGATTGTGTTGTTTTGTCAGTTACTTATTAGACTGAATCGTCCGGTCTTATGTGTTAAGAAACAATTTACGCTACTAGCTGATTTCCAGGAGGGTAGTTACGCACTATGCACCGATTCACACTGCATACTTGTCTCTCCCTACTGTCCCTTTGGCGTGGTGGATGAAGGCTCCATGTTTCGAATTTCACCCCATTGTATATATTTATCATTCCGATTGCTGGACATCTTCACGTCGCTCAGTTACCTGTTTCCCATCATATGGTGACATGAGTACACTAATAATGGACGAACTAAGAAATTTACTACTTCGTGTTTGCTAATGACCCAGTCCTTTGTCAGCTAGATTCGGTTTGATCTATTTTCGGTCATCACTGGAGCACGTGAGCTCATGTGTAGTGAGCGGGGCTGGCGACCTATCAGATGTTGGTCCATACTGGGCTTAAGTTCACTTGTACAGCCATCAAATTCCTCCATCATCCAGTCGCGTCGGACAGCGGGTGCAGCGCGCACAGACTTGTAGTTGCTTCATTAAGCAAAAGTAGTCGGCCAATAGGATACCGGATGCACATACATGGCAGCGTGTAGGCACGTATAGGACACACGGGTGTAAGTAACACACTTCAGCCTCTACTTGCTCTTGTCACCTGAGCGGCGACCGATCGCATGATGGAGATGTGACTGTGGAAAGGTTGATGCCTGAGGTCACCAGCTGTGCGCTAAGGTGAAACTGGACAATGTTGGCTAACGAATCTGTGTCTGATCGACAGCGCCGCTATAAGAGAGTGTTAGCGAAAACGGTTGGGAGCCACCCGCATTCTGACAGGTCTGACAGTCAATGTCCGTATGTTAAACTCCCAGGTACTCTTCTGTACGAGCTATCACGTACAGTGGACACTGTATCTGTGGTTTAACAGGCCAATACAAGTGGCGCATTAATGCGTAAGGTCGCGATTTGTTCTGGTCACACCGCGAAGTTGTGTGAATCGGTTCACATCGGTAACAATTGATGCGATAACGGTAGCGCACGAAGCTTCCTGGCTTCATGAAATTACGTTGAGTGATGTAGTACCTGCACACTATTATAATGCATCTGATAACTTGGCAATCTTAGCGCTTGTTTCACGGCTGGCACGCGCCGTTTTCGTGACCACGGTTGACAAATATGATGAACACAGATTTAGCAGCGACAATGAAGCGAGTAATTGTCAAGTCATGTAGGGTGATATGGTAGGAACCATAGAATTAAGTGCTAAAAATGTTACAATTAAGCATGTACCAATACAGCGGCAATACGATGATTTACAATGGGCGATGAAGTAGTGGTGCAAAAACGAAGCTAGACATGGGATGTCTGCATAGAGGACCTGCGTTAGATACATTCACGGCTCAAAAAAGGTACACCCGGTAACGTGGACGACAAATGCGTCCGGTGAAAACGATGGGCTTATGTGGTAACAGCTGGCCGGTTACATAATAGAAAGGTGCGAAAATAGAGCGATGTGATACCTAAGTGATCTGAATTTTTCCCGCAGAGTGTCAGAAGTATAGGTCGTTGTTGATGTGAATCCATGGGGCATAAGGTCTGATCTTATCTTAAGGGACAGGCTGAGGGGATGCGACTTATATTCCTTTTCATGACGAATGTAGTGCCACTGAAACATGAGAGTAGCTGAGTATTGGGTATTACCCGCCCGAAAACGCCGCACTCCATGACCAGTTTTGAATTTATTTGCTCTCATCAGGTAGAGATATCAGGCCTCGAACCCAGGGCGATTGAGTTTTTGTTTAAGACCCATGCCCTTATAGCCACCAAGTCACGACGAGAAACGCTTGCCACAACGGCTAATGATTGATAGGAAGGTCATTTTGAAGCACTCGTTGTGTGAATGGATTGCGACGCACAA